GTTTCTATGAACATTGATTTTTTTTTTTTGCGGCCCACCTAAAGTTAAGTATTGTTTATTTGGCCCAAGTTAGCTTTTGAGTTTGACACTCCTGTACTAGAATGTTGAAATTGTATTCTCGAATTGTTTGGTCTCAATAGTATCGCCAGTTTTCGAGGAATAATAATAGGAATAATAATAATAAAGGAAACGATGTACGATGTAGAATGTTTAAATTGTATTCTCAAATTTTTTGGTCTCAATAGTATTGCCAGTTTTCGAGGAATAATAATAGGAATAATAATAATAAAGGAAACGATGTACGATGTATAATGTTTAAATTGTATTCTCAATTTTTTTTTATAATAAAGGAAACGATGTAGAATGTTGAAATCGTATTCTCAAATTTTTTGGTCTCAATAGTATTGCCAGTTTTCGAGGAATAATAATAGGAATAATAATAATAAAGGAAACGATGTACGATGTATAATGTTTAAATTGTATTCTCAATTTTTTTTTATAATAAAGGAAACGATGTAGAATGTTGAAATCGTATTCTCAAATTTTTTGGTCTCAATAGTATTGCCAGTTTTCGAGGAATAATAATAGGAATAATAATAATAAAGGAAACGATGTACGATGTATAATGTTTAAATTGTATTCTCAATTTTTTTTTATAATAAAGGAAACGATGTAGAATGTTGAAATCGTATTCTCAAATTTTTTGGTCTCAATAGTATTGCCAGTTTTCGAGGAATAATAATAGGAATAATAATAATAAAGGAAACGATGTACGATGTATAATGTTTAAATTGTATTCTCAATTTTTTTTTAATAATAAAGGAAACGATGTAGAATGTTGAAATCGTATTCTCAAATTTTTTGGTCTCAATAGTATTGCCAGTTTTCGAGGAATAATAATAGGAATAATAATAATAAAGGAAACGATGTAGAATGTTTAAATTGTATTCTCAATTTTTTTTAATAATAAAGGAAACGATGTAGAATGTTGAAATCGTATTCTCAAATTTTTTGGTCTCAATAGTATTGCCAGTTTTCGAGGAATAATAATAGGAATAATAATAATAAAAAAGGAAACGATGTACGATGTATAATGTTTAAATTGTATTCTCAATTTTTTTTTAATAATAAAGGAAACGATGTAGAATGTTGAAATCGTATTCTCAAATTTTTTGGTCTCAATAGTATTGCCAGTTTTCGAGGAATAATAATAGGAATTTTTTTAATAATAAAGGAAACGATGTAGAATGTTGAAATCGTATTCTCAAATTTTTTGGTCTCAATAGTATTGCTAATTGTCGAGTAACAGTGGTTTAAAAACCGAACTGATCTAAGTCCTGAGTGATCTAGTATGACATACGTATTTCGCGATGGCGGTTAATAATATAAAATAATATATAATATAAAATAATAACTATCATTTTTTCTGCTACTTGACGACGACTCGAGGAAAAAAACTCAATGACGTGAGCACATTTGTTAAAATCTATAATTATTCAGACCGATCAGTAAACCACATTTCTTCTGAACCGAAGAAAGCTCGAGTCATCTTTAAATGGTTAATGCGATGGCTCGTGTTAACGAATCTACCACATCAACGTAGATCTGCAAATCAGCCTTGATGGAGATAAGAGGAAGCCCCATCGGGCTCCTATATTAGACATTACGAATTCAAAGTTACCAGTTTCGCTTCCCAGGAGACAGTCCTTCACCGCGCTACATAATACTCATCAGCAGTTCTAATTAGAGAATCGCCCAAGACAGGCCTGGATACTTGTATCCGTATAGGTCGGCAGTATCGCAGTGACATTTTCAATCTCGGAACTGCTAAACACTTTTGACGTCCGTAAGAATGGAACTACGAATCGGTTGCATTACGAATCTCGTGGATACGAATCGCTAAATCTTGTAGCTCTAAATGTGCCGTTTATTTTGAAAGCGGCATAAGTCACTTTGTTTTTCAGTCGATTTATTTAAGGGTTTGTTGTTTGAAAGTTCTAACTATCGAGAAGATTTACTTGTATTTGTTGTCTCAGGATACTGATATTTTTCTTGGTATAAATAATTTCGTATAAACATGAAAAAATCACCACTTTTCATTACGGTAAAGTGACTTATGCCACTTTCAAAATGAACGGCTCGATTAGTAGAACGCGGATCTTCGTGCAAAATAAAAATATAATATAATATATATAATAATAAACTATAATAATAATAATAATAATAATATAATAATATAATAATATATACTATATAAACTATAATAATAATAATATAATAATAATAATATAATAATAATAATAATATAATAAAATATATATAATAATAAACGGAAATTAAATAAAAATAAATTGTTTCTCGTGATCATTTTCATAAGTTCAAAATACTACGACAGTATCGTTAAATTCTTCTTATGTCTTCATAATTTTATATTTCAGCTACTCGTTTTGCCATAAATGCAACAACAAAAAAATCCGTTGTCTACTTATCACTAGACTAGTATCTTTGTTCATTTACGGATGAGCACGGATTTTTGACGAAGTCCGACGGCATTTTTATTTCGTTTTCAAAATTTTCCAGTTGCCGAACGAATCTTTTCATTATCTCTAATTTCTATGTACATAATGCGAATAATGTGAATGAGAATTTGTGTAAAGGTCCGTCTAATTATCATCATAAGGTGGTTGGAAGCTAGTCGAAATCAAGCAGATATTCTAGCGTAAATTGTGTTTTCGTTTAACTGATTTTTTGCGAACAGTCTGTAACGCCTTTTGCAATCAAACATTTATTTTAATCGAATTTATTGCAATCAAACTTTTATTTACAATATTTGTGTCGGCTCAGAAAGATTAGAATTGGCGGCACTGAATAGTCTCGAACACGGTTTAATTTTGAAAAGATCGTCCCCTGGTACCGATTATCGCAGTTATTTATCTCAAATGAGAAACATATAAGATTCTTCATTACGTACGTTCGACTATAACGAATACCAGAACAAAAGAAAATATCAAAAAATCGACAATTAAAAGCATGGCGACACTTTGAAATTCGATTATTGATTTTTCAATATTGCAGACCTTAAAGAATGTAAGAAATAAAAATTTCGATTTTTGAAGGCAAACGGTTAAGGAGACTTTTGAGATATCGTGGACACCGTTTTCGAAAACATAGTTTCGTGAAAATCGCGCTTGTATGCCAATGGTCGTTCTTATTATGAAATATCATAATTGCGGTCAGTGATTTTTTTGTCACCGATTTTTCGTCGCGTCCTTCGGCGAGCTACAGCTTTCTTTTAATTTTAACAATTATTTTATTCAATTTTAATAATTATTTTAATAATTATTTATGAGCCTGTATTCTTCAAGAAAATGAAAAGAAAATCAATTTATTCGAAAATATACTCTAGCATAACTTTTAACCCTTTGCACTCAAAGCCATTTCAACTATAAATCTAAATTAATTTTTTCGACTTATGGTATTTCCAATTTACATGACAAAGTGCATTTTATGCGTATGAAATTTAGTCCTGTGATTCGTACAACAGTTGGACTCTTAATAATTCTTTATATCTAAACTTTGATAATATAAAAATTATCTTGAAACGTGATATAACAATTTTTTTTTTTTTTTTTAGCGGTGCCTCAGAGTCACCGCTCGAGTGCAAAGGGTTAATAATATTCCGAAAAGCAATTATCTGATTCGAATAGGTTATTTTCTTCACAGTCGGATCTCGGCGCTGTACTAACAAACACCCCAACGTCGCTGAGAATTCCACTTGGGAGACGTGAAAGATGAACTAAACCATCACTCATAACCATCCGTATCGTTCAATCTTTCTAGACTTGTTCGTTCTTGTGTGGCCGTAGTTGGATTATCCTATCTTCACTTTCACGAATGTGCATTAAAATAGACTACGTTGAAGTAGTCGTTTAACCCCTTGCCTTACGAATTATTTTCGAAGAAACACGAGTGTGCAGAGAGACTTCTCTCTTTGCGAGGAGTTTTTACACAAATTTAAAAAAATCTCTGCTTCAGATATCTATTAAAATATCTCTGTTTTTTTATTTGTAATAAAACAGAATTAATAAGGTAATACTAATATTAAATAAAAATCGGAGCATATCCTGTTTAAGTTACAATGAAATTAGAAAAGAAAATTCTCAACTGTTTATTTTAATTTTCTTAATATTTTCTAATAATTCATTACAATCGATAATTGCAGTTATTTATCTCAAATGAGAAACATATAAGATTCTTCATACGCAAATGTCGACACTGTTTCATTTGTAATAGAACAGAATTAATAAGGTAATATTAATATTAAATAAAAATCGGAGCATATCCTGTTTAAGTTACAATGAAATTAGAAAAGAAAATTCTCAACTGTTTATTTCAATATTCTTAATATTTTCTAATAATTCATTATAACCGATGATGACAAAATTTTAGATAGAAAAAAGGCAACAGAGAATGTGTAAATGTATGAGCCGTTTATTTTGAAAGTGGCATAAGTCACTTTGCTTTTAAGTCGATATATTTAAGGGTTCGCGTTTTAACACGTTTCAAAATATGGATGCTAACTTTCGAGAAGATTTACTTGTATTTGTTATCTCAGGATACTGATATTTTTCTCAGTATAAATAATTAATAATAACAATTTTCATTACGGTAAAGTGACTTACGCCACTTTCGAAATAAACGGCTCATATTAATGTTTTTTTTTCAACAGTTGGAATGAATTTATATGGTTCTCCTAAACATTTAAACGTGCGGCGAGCGTCAGCCGTGAAATTTGAGTTCGGCATAGAAAACGTTCCACGAGCGAGAGAGGCTCGTCATTTCTATTATAAGTTCAAATTATATTTAGTTGTTTGTTATCTTTGATACCGTTGCGATTCTCGCTCGCGCTAACGGTATATATATATATATATCTATATCATTTAAGTGGAAGTTTTTAACGAACGTTCGAAATTAAACGAGACACGCTTGCACTGTTACAGGATCGGGCGCGCACAAAAATGACGCGACCGGAAATGGAAGGCCGGCTCCCCTTTTGGCGGAACCCAGATACGGTGCCGCGCCCCAACCATACGGTAAGTTTGCTCTGGGCATCGCCCCTCTCCATTCATCCCTTTGATAGCCAAATTAAGCGAATCAATTGGTTTCAACCGATCGACCCCTCTGCCGGCTACCGATTCTTTTCGCCAAGTATGTACTTACGAAATCAAGGACTGCTCGATCGCTCGCAAATCGAAGGAACTGCACACCGATGATTAACTTACTCGAATCGATGATTCGCCCTGTTAATTGATCATGCGTGATCTCTCTCGTGTACTCGATAGTTTTTAGCGACAGCACGCTTGGCTTCCGCTTCATCTCGATTGCTAACCAGGTGAAATGTTTGTCAATATTTTCGACGATCGAAAACCAAAGTTCCGTGTAACGAAGAGAGTTTTATGATTATCAAAAGTTTCAATTGATTTCAACGTTGCTATCTTTTCCGAAGCAGAATCTCGCACATTGCACGGCCGCGGCACAAATGCTTCGAATTGAAATTATTTGATTCGAATGTAAAATTGAAAAATGTTAAAAACTGTGTTCGAAGCATTTACAGATGTTTGGGAATTTCACGAATATTATGCGATTTAGGAAAGCGACGTATTTGAAGGGCCATTATTTGTATTAATTTTTTAATGCATTAAATAATAATTTCATGTATTAATTCTTCGACTACGATCGCATATACGTACGCCCACGCGAGTCTATCAATACGCACGAAAGGGGTAAATATACGCTACACCAACTTGTCACTGTGTTAAACATGTCAAATGGAACTTGTTCTTCATAATCGATATCGAACTTTTTTTCTTTACGATTCCTCTTCGCAACGATATGCGACAGCCAGTGACAGCCATGATTTGTCTATTTCGCTTTATTTGTTTATCGCTGGTTCTATCCGAGAGTATACGCCGGAATCAGAGGGTTAATTATTAACTCTCGCCGTTAGACTAAAAAGTCATTGAAATAGTCAAAAATGTCTGATTAGTAGACAGCGGATTTTATGCGTTTATGATAGAAATAAATAGATGAAATACAAAACAAAGACATTATAAGCGAATATATGGATATTGTTACATTATTTTCAACTTGTTACAATTCATAAAAGGGGAAAGACATTTTCGTGTAATTTGTATCTTTTATAGTTATAACTTGTAACCATTTTTATTTTGCTTAGACTCGTAATCTATCGATTAGGTTGAAAATCTACTTTATTCTAATCTACTTTACTATCTATCCACTCTAGTTAAAAATTCTATCTACTCTATCTACTCTATTTAAATCTACTTCATAAATCAGCTTTATTTTGTGTTATCACAAGGATTGGAAATGTCCAGGAATAGTCGAATGAGAAAAGAGAAACGATAAATTCTTACTAAGTGGAAGAACACTATCTCTATTTCCCAATCGAAGAAATAATATATTTCACCTTTAGAACAACATTGTTCAATGATTTCGATATCTGCACCGTTTCGTATAATTCGGTAATTCGTGTAACTTGTGCAACATTTGTAACTAGCGTAATTCGTGTGGATTCGTGTAACTCGTGTAATATCTGCGACTTGTACAACCTAGACACCGAAGCTGGCGGCACGCTTCGGTTGCGAAGTCTAATTCGTATCTTTTATAGTTAACTTGTAACAATTTTTATTTTGCTTAGACTCGTAATCTATCGATTAGGTTGAAAATCTACTTTTTTGTTTGCAACTTTATTTTGTGTTATCAGAAGAAAGGAAAGAGAAACGATAAATTCTTACAAGTGAGAGAAAACTGTCTCTATTTCCCAATCGAAGAAATAATATATTTCACCTATATATCTATATTATTATTATATTATTATTATATTATTATATATTATTATATTATTATTATATTATATATATTATTATATATAATATATATTATATTATATATTATTATTATATTATATTATAGTACATTATAAATTATTATATATATATATATAATAATTTAATATAATATAATAATATAATATAATATAATATAATATAATATAATATAATATAATATAATATAATATAATAATTTATATATATATATATATATATATATATATATATATATAGAGAGAGAGAGAGAGAGAGAGAGAGAGAGAGAACAACATTTTGTTCAATGATTTCGATATCTGCACCGTTTCGTATAATTCCGTAATTCGCGTAACTTGTGCAACATTTGTAACTAGCGTAATTCGTGTGGATTCGTGTAACTTGTACAATATCTGCGACTTGTACAACCTAGACACCGAAGCAGGCGGGGCACGCTTCGGTTGCGAAGCAATCGGAAGTTATTATCGTGAATCATTGCGGAGAGCAACGAGACCAAAGGACAGATTTCGACAGCAAATCAATGGCGTAATTGTAGCGGAGTTATGTCGCGTTCACAAACTACCGGAACTATAACTGTAGACAAAATCCAATCCCGATGGTTGCGACGTTGACTTAAAGAACGGCGGCCGATACAGGGGGGAGAGGGGGGAGGGGCCCTTCTGCAACGAACGATCTTTGATCGATTATTAAGGTGGTCGACGACGAGTAATAATCGACGCTGTCTCGAGCAAAGTTATCGCGATGACACGATGAAGATATATTAATCCCCGGAGTCATTACTTAGAAAGTCGGACGGAATAGATCCTGCAGTGTCTTAACTGACAGCGCAACAAGATTTAAGTTACGAAAGTTACCCTGGAGTCGCTTTAGACCTAATACGAAGTTACCGATACAACTTTTACGCAAAAATCCTCGTGGCATATAAGCGTCTCGCGCGCCATGATCTTTCAATGTGTATACCACATGCGAAGAGAGCAAGTGTGCCAAAACAAAGTTCGCGATGAATGAACTGCGGAACTTAGCGAGCGCATTTACAGGGTGTAAATATATTTTACAGAGATTATGAAATACAAGCTTCGTTCGAGTATAATATTTTCATTTTGTTCGTTGTTTATTAAAACCCTGGAAGACGGGAATATTATTATTATTAATTATTTTTATTATAAATTATTATTATTATATTATATTATATTATATATATTATTATAATATTATTATATATTATTATATTATTATTATATTATATATAATATATATTATATTATATATTATTATTATATTATATCACAAATTATTATTATTAATTATTTTTAACAATATACACGCTTTGTAACAACATACAATCGGTATATAATGTATTCGTACACTTTTTAAGATCGGGCAATAACTTTTTTATGATCGGGCCAAGCGATCTAAATTTTGGTGGGATTGTAGAGGAATTAGCTTAATAGTTAATGGTTGGGAAATTGTTTTAAAAAGTTGCCGTTAGTTATCATATGTGTGATGAAAGAATTCACTTCACTTTTTTAATTAGGAATATATATTTATACGTTTGTTGTTGCAGATCGACATTTTCTATAAAAGAAATATTCTCCTATGTATGCTGAAAAATTATTAGTTCAGCAGACAGTTTATGTTTGTGAATTTTTAATGTGGATTTTGCTCTGCCATAAAAGTGCATATTATATGCGTTAAGGTTCTCACAATTCGTAAATATCTGCTGAACTAATAATTTCTCGATATCCATAGGTCGAGATACTTCTTTTATAGAAAATCGTCGATCTCTGCAATTCAATATTTAACAACATATCATTATAATAACATATTATAACATATTATTATAATAGCATATTATAACATATTATTATAATAGCATATTATAACATATTATTATAGCATATATAACATATTATAATATCATATAATAACATATTATTATAATAATATTATTATAATAATAAATATAATAACAATACATATTATAATAATTCAATATTTAATTCTAACTCGTGCCAGATAATATCAACGGCCGTCGGTTAAAATTTAATCGACGATACATGTACAATACCAACCAAAGACGACAAGGCGTAATGAAATCTCCGGGGTGAAAGGAATTAATTAAAAAATAATAAAATTAAATGTGCCCGCGATCGAGTCCACCCTAACCGGCGGCGCGCCACCCGATTTTCATAATTCGTGCGGTTGAATGCGAGCGTGGCCGAGATTCGTATCGAAATGAAATCTGTCTAGACAAAAGAAGTTAAATATCCTTTCTATTGTTTCAGGATCTACGCCACAGGTAACTTTCCCCCCGGGTGCTGGTCACGATCGTTACGAGGAGAATTTCAATGGACCAGCTACGTACGCAGAGCCGTACGTTGAGCGTTATGCTATTAAGAGTGATTTTAGCGGTCGAGACCCTTTACACCCCACGCCACCACGGCCTGGTTACGTACCCACCCTAGGGCAGACCCCACCTTCAAGTACGCAGGGCTCAGTGATGATGGTATACGGTTTGCAACCGGATAAAGTAAACACCGACAAACTCTTCAACCTGTTCTGCCTCTACGGAAACGTGACGAAGGTACGTGCACGCATCCGCTAAATCTATGTACATACAGGGTGGTGTCCCAAAAATCTGAGGAACCCGCCAATTCGGAAATGGCGGGTTCCTCGGATCATTTGAAGCAACTTCTTCCTTTACAAAAATGTTCTCCGAGCCACCGTTAACGAGTTATTAACGAAAAACAGCGACCAATAAGAATCGAGTACGGCTGACGCGAGGCGGCCCAGCCAACCAGCGCGCGAAGCCCAGTTCCGCTCATTGGCGCGGTCGCCTCGCGCCAGCCGAGCACGCCTCTCATTGGTCACGGTTTTTCGTTGATAACTCGTTAACGGTGCCTCGGAGAACATTTTTGTAAAGGAAAAAGTTGCTTCGAATGACCCGAGGAACCCGCCACTTTCGGATTGCGAGACATTTTTGGGACACCCTGTACGTTCAATCGAATCCGCAGAGTCAAAGTCATCAAGCTTCCGAGATCCCTACTTTGTTATCCACACCATGTTTCTTCTATAGGAGAGAACTGCCATGTATGGGACCCTCTTGTTCAGGAAAAAAATAGTAAAAAAATTCGACGATCTATCCAATTCTAGTTTAAAACATTCCAAAGATCAGTTCTTTTACTACAAGAATGCGTAGTGTCGATGAATTTGCTTTAGTATTTGCTTTGTTTTCAATTTTTTCTTAAATGTGCATTTGGTCCCATTCATTAATTGGTTTCGATAAATGGGACAAGCGTATTCATGAGTGAATCAATGTAACAAGATAAAGTAATCTTGCTATTAATCTTATGGATACTGTTTTTCTATTCATTATAGGATTCTTAGGTCAAAGGACCGATTTGACTGTGTTAATTGATCATTCGTTGTAACACGTTTGACCGGTTAAAATAGCTGTTTTCTGATTTCTTCTTTTACAGTTTTTGACT